TAGGAAGGCCCCGTGCCCCGCTGTCCAGGGAGGCCGTGACCCACGTAGGAAGCCCTGTGCCCTGCCATCCGGGGGTGTCTAGGATGACCTGCACCCTGCTGTCCAGGGAGGGCCGTAACCCACATAGGAAGGCCCCGTGCCCAGCCGTCAGGAGGAGGACTCATCAGCCAAGTCAATGAGCATCAGCATTTCATCCAACTTTGCTTCTTTTCATCAAAACAGAGATGTTACCCCACCCATTTGTCTCCTGGCACCGCTGCCCCCGGGCTGTGCCCGCCCCACCTGTGAATAGGTCCTACTGCCAGCGACTCGGACCCCTGCTGCTACCCTGTGCGGGGGAGGGGCTGAATGGTGGCCAGCTGGGCTGGGTCATAGGGGGTCATACTCTGGTCCCCCATGGAGGGGCCCAGCCCTGCAGGGACAGCTGTGGTCATCTGGTGGCTTGTGCTAAAGGCCACCCACCCCATCCTCCTAGGTGGAGAGCTCTCTCCCTCCAAGCTGTTGGGTTAGAACTGACTCATCGCTGACCTGCAGCACGTTTGCAGGGACAGTCGAGTGCCCGGGAGGAGACTGCCCGTCTTTCCCACAGTCGTGGATTGGGGTCGCCTGCCTTTGGACTGGCAGCACAGCCCTTAGCACTAGGCCACCAAAGCTCCCTCCTCTCCTCTGTGAAGTGGGGACCAGGCCTGTGACACCCTCGATGGTGGCTTCACCAGGCTGGGGGTCAGGCTCACCCAGGGCCGTGCTCAGGGCCGCTTCTGCTGAGGCCGGGACCCGCTGATGTGACCTGGTCCTCCAGAAGGGAGGTGTGGCATTGTTGCAGAGCTGGGGCGCTCAGGGACGTGCGGGGGTCTGTGCCAGTGGCCATCGTGCACTGGACAGAGGCTCAGCTCCTGGGCTTCACCACCAGCGCACGCTGTACGCACCCCAGTCTCTGCCCACGGGCTCGGCGTCAAATGAATGCAGCGATGGGGCATCTGCATTTTTGGAGCTGAGGGCTTTGCTGAGGCTTGCGGGATGGGGAGCATGGTAGTGTCCGTGCAGGTGTGGGTGGGCCCAGGTGTGGGAGAGGGCTACTTCAGAAGCATCCCATCCCCTGGTCATTGGGGGGACTGCCCTGTGGGGCTTCTTTACAGGAACGGCTGGCTGGGGCGTCCTCGGAGGTGTCCTGGGTCATCTTCCCACGGGTGGTCAGGGGCCGTGACCTCTGTACGCCGGGCCCCTCTTTAGCAAAGGCCGCTCCCGACAGTCAGGGGGCTGCAGCTTGAACCCACAGGAGCATCAGGCAGGACTGGGGGGAGTACAGGGGCCCTTCCCTCAGCTGACTCCCACAGCGGGCCCGGGGCGCCTGGATGGGCAGGTGCCTTTCGTGGGCCACGTCCGGTGGGCACTCACTCTGCCCTCTGCTGTCCCCAGTGCTGCTCACGGCCGTGAACTGCTACAGCGTGAAGGCCGCCACGCGGGTCCAGGACGCCTTCGCGGCCGCCAAGCTCCTCGCGCTGGCCTTGGTCATCCTTCTGGGCTTCGTGCAGATTGGGAGGGGTAAGTGCGGTCCCCGAGGGCCCAGGGAGAGGGAAGCCCGTGGAAGTGCCGGCATGTGGGGTCCACACCCTGACTCTGGTCATTGTTCGTGGTGTAGACGTTTGGTGTGCACATAAACTTGTGCATGTGTTGCTGTTGGGTTTTTTTCTGTATCTTTTCATACCGAGTTCCCTTTTTTTAAAAAAAATCTTTTATTGTGATTGAGAGGAAATTGATTTCCCCCCCAGCAACTCCTTGTGTCCACAGCATCAGTGATGACCCCATGTGGTGGCCGCACTCTCGCCGCTTCCTCCCTGTCTCCCATGCCCCCTCCTCTTTCGTCTTCGGAGCTTTCTCCCTACGCAAATGCTGCCCTTTGACCTCAGTGGTCAGTCGCAGTGAGGTGACGGTCAGGAAGGGAGGCCATGGAGGAGGACGGTCCAGGCCTGGCCGTCCCAGCTCCACCCTGTGGCCTTGGCTGTGGTTCATGCTCAGCTGTTTTCTCAGCAGCTCACAGACTGTCATGTAGCCTCCCCTGGGGGACCGGGTGAGGGGCTGGAACACCCCAAAGTAGCTCCCCACAGTACTTGGTACTGTGGGGGCACCCCAGGAGAGAGGCTGGTGCACCCCGAGAGCAGACTCCCCATGGTGCTTGGATGGGGCCTAGGTCACTGTAGGGCACCCCAGGAGAGGGCCTGGCGCACCCCGAAACCAGACTCCCCACAGAGCTCAGGTAGGGCCTAGCTCACTGCGGGACCCCCCGCTGTCACCGAGCCCTGAGGGGAGGAGGAGGATCTGTGGGTGGTGGGAGTGTCGGGCCTGATCACTTCAGGCATGGCACCCCCCACCTGCAGAACAGGGGCTCTGCCCTCACTCCCCCATCTCCAGACTTCCTGTGGGGGTCCCTACCCTGTGGGAGGGCCCACTTTGCTGCCCGACCCCTCTGCCTTTCAAGGTGGGGGTGCGCCATCTTTTCAGCAGGAAGCTGATTGCTGGGGCCGTGTCCTCAGAGCTCGGGGTTCTCCAAGACCGCCCCGGGAACCCAGCCATCTGCTGGTCGCCGGGTGGGCACCTCACCTGGCGGGATAGTGAACAAAGCCGACGGGGCATCTGTGACTGGTGCTGGGAACGCCCCAGAAGGCTCACTCCTGTCTGTGGGCACCCAGGACACGATGCCACATCTGTGACCCCTTTCCATGTCAGAACCTGGGGACCTCTGTCCTGTCAGAGTCCTGTCCTGGCTGCTGCCCAGCACCTCTGTCCACTTAGCCATCCTGCCCAGCTCTGCTCTGGAGACAACATGTGGTCAGAACCCTCCTCTGCTCAGGGTCTGGGCGGCCAGTGCCAGAACCCGCTCCCCCCGCCCCAGCTGGCCCACGAGGCCACACTGCTCAGTAAAGACGTGTGTGGAGGTATTTGCTAGGCCGTCCGAGATAAAGACAGATGAGGCATTCAGGAAGCCTGGGTGTTGTGAAAACAAAGTTTGGCAGGGAGAGCTGAGCACTCTGTTCCGCCCGCACACGGCGGGTTTGTCATTCTGTCTGTGGGAGACCATCCGCCCGCCCAGCTCCCCCAGCTCAGGACTCCGGCCTCAGTGCCACGTCTGCAGAATTACTGCCCTTCTGTCCTTGGAGACATGTGCCCCCACGTCCAGGGGACACGCGGTGGGAATGTCGTGTCCCCGGGTGCCTACAGTCCAAGCAGAGGCCTGAGTGTGGAGCTGGACAGCGGGCACCATGCAGCCTCTTCACCCCACGTGGCCAGTGTCAGGTGGGGGACTTGTGCCCTGAGCCCCTGCGCCCCACACCCAGCATGTGATGAGGGCAGGGTAGAGGTGGCCATACCTTACAAGTCACAGAACAGGACAGGAGAGCTGCCTGCAGGCCAGGAATGTGAGGACGAGACCCCAGCCAGGGGACACCGTGAGAAGGCTGCCACAGGGTGGTATGTGGGGTGGACAGGGCCCAGGCCAGGGGGGCAGCAGGACCTCCATGTGGAGCTTGGAGGGGAGACCCCAAGGCCCTGATCTGAGAGGCTCTGTGGGAAGGTCTGTGGTGTGGAGAGGCCCAGTGTCCTCACGGGGTCAGGACCTCAGGGGGCCTGTGCTCACGTAGCATTTGGGGTCTGGCTGGCTGTAGGGTCCGGCTGTGGGTGAGGTCTGGCTGTGATACCAGGCTGGTGGGAGCTGACCGGGACTGCTGAGAGCCACCAAAGGCTGGAGGTAGATCTGGCACCCCAAATGGCAGACCGCAGTGCATACGGGCACCCCACCTTCCCACTCCATTAGAGGACACACTGGCCTCCATCTGTACCCTTACCCCCTCCTGCCCAGCAGCTCCACACCTACAGCTCCCAGAGACCACAGTCTTGAGGGCAGCAGAAGGCTCCAGCCAGGCGCCCGAGAGATGACACAGTGGGACCATTGTTGGGACAGTGTGTCTAGCCTGGGCATCCCCTCGTCCTCCTGGGGGGGTCAGAGCACTGGACAGCGCACACAGATGGCTTCCTCCACACGGCCCTGGAGGGGAGGTCCCCATCCACACACCTTTGCCCCAAGCACTGGCCACTGCTGGCCACACCACAGAGGCCGATGAGCAGGTCCAGCCCAGGCCACGTGGCTCCCGCAGGCCTCGCCGGCTGTGCTTGTGGGGAGCGAGGGCGGCTGAGGTCTGAGTCACATGCAGCAGGAGGGACGTTCAACCCAGCAAGAGGACGTTGGCAATTCCAGCCACGCTGCTGCCGGATAAGGGCCCTTTGTCCAGCAGGCTGGGGCCGTCTGGGCGACCTGGCCCGGCTCTGCTCCCGGCTGTTGGGAATGGGAGAGAGGAGCGGTAGGCCGGCCCCAGACACTAGGACACAAACAGTGCCCCGTGAGAACGCAGCATCTGGTGTGGCAGAAGGTAGAAAACCACACCGTTCCACGCGGCGTGTGAGGTGGGGACGCCTGTGCAGTGGGGGCTCGCAGCCCCTCGCCTGCCTGCCTTCTTCCTGGCCGGTGGTGCCTCCTCCCGCCTGGCGGGGCGGTCCTGAGCATGCTTTCTGCTGTGGGTCCCCTGCCTCCCACCGCCCTATGTCCAGCCTGCTGACTGTCCTGTGACTGGCGCCCGACACTGGGCGAGTCACATGTGGCAGTGGTGGGAGTGCCAGTCCCCCTTGTCAGGAGACTCTGGCCTGGCAGGCAGGCGGGTGGCCGTGATGGGCGGGCCTCAGCTCACATCTGAGCAAATGAGATCAAAGCCCTCAGATGTCCAGGACAGGCCTCCCTCCACCTTCCCCTCCTTCCCACCAATGTAGGTGACCCACCAGCCTGTGACCCTCCCAGGGACGATACACCCGCAGCCCCTTGTGAAGCCCACTGGGGCTGCCCACTGCATGGACGGGTCTCACCAGACCTCTGGGCTCCAGGCTAGTCACTAATTCCCAGCCCTGCCTCGCCATGTAGAAGCCAGGCTGGTGTTTGGGGGGGGTGCGGTTCAGGTAAGCCCAGGCCTGTCCATCTGACCCTGTTCTCCAGGGGTGGGGAGCTGGCTCACCCCTCAGTCTTGTTCTGGCAAAAGCAGACTTGTTCACTGTATGGAGGGGCAGCTGAGTTCAGAGATCTGAGGGGTCGCCAGTGCTCGGAGCTGCCCCCCACCCCAGCCCACATCCACCACGTTCCTCCTAAGCTGTGGTCAGGACGCGGTGCTGGGCAGTTTTCGGGTCCAGTGGGCCAGCAGCCACCTTTGCTTTGATGCCTCTTTCACGCTGACATTTTTGCTTGTTCCTGTATTTTGCTCCAAGAACGTTCCGGAACTTGTACCTTCTCCCAGAGCTCTCTAACCTGGCATTCTGTTTCCTGCCAGGTGATGTGTCAAACCTGGACCCCAGGTTCTCATTTGAAGGCACCAAGCTGGATGTGGGCAACATTGTGCTGGCCCTGTACAGCGGCCTCTTTGCCTACGGGGGATGGTAGGTTCCAGAACATCTGAGTTCCAGGCAGTGATGGGTTCTCTCACCACATTACTCAGCACAAGGGTCCCCACGTGGGCAAGCAACAGCCCCGGTCACCTTGTGACTGCTCAGAAGCTGTCTCTGGGTGGATGGACTTCCCCTTCCTGCACAGACAGGTAGCACCTGGGCCTAGAGAGCTGAGACCACTGGTCCCAAACCAGCCCAGCAGGGAAAGTGCCTGCTGAGAAGGTGCTGGGGTGGGGTACCTGCCCCTCCTTCTCCGAGTCCCCCTCCATCCCCGAGTCCTTGCTGTGTGGCTCCAGCTCTCGGCTGGGCTGTCCCTGCAGAGTTAGAAGGCAGGCCAGGTGGCAGAGAGGACCCTCAGTATGCACACCATTTCATGAATAACCAAAAGAATGTCAAGTTGATTCCAACTCTTAGTGACTGAAAGGCCTCTGCCAGAACCCCTCTCAATCACAGTCACGGGCTCCTGGTCCCTTTTCTCTCAATCAGGGTCACTGGCTTTTGGTCCCTTTCGCTGTCCTCTTTCCTGTTGTCTTCCAGTCCCTGGACAGATGGAAACCAAGCTTCTGAGCTTGTGAACCCTCGGAAGATGTGGGTAGGGAGGGTCAGTGGTGAGTCCCTGCTTGGCTCTGCATCCGCCTCAGAGGCAGCAGGGACTGCACCCACAGGAGAGGGATTGGTCCTGAGACTGCTTCTGCTATTACAGGAACTACTTGAATTTTGTCACAGAAGAGATGATCAACCCTTACAGGTATGTGTGTGCAGGTGGCTGCTTCCTTATTGCAGTGAGGCCTGATGGTGTGGGGAAACCTGTGAGGGTGGCCAGCTTCCCGCAAAGGCAGCAGGGGCCCTTCTGGGCAGGAACAGCAACACTGGGCAGGCGTGGAAGTCAGGCCCACGTGGATGTCCATGCAGTGAGGGTGTGGTGGTTGGTGATGAGCTGGGTGTCCATGCAGGGAGGGTGTGGTGGTCGGTGATGAGCTGGGTGTCTGTACAGGGAGGGTGTGATGGTCGGTGATGAGCTGGGTGTCCATGCAGGGAGGGTGTGGTTGGTGCTGAGCAGGGTGGATGTGGGGCAGAGAGGTGCTGAGTGTTCCTCACAGCCCCCCAGCAGGGGCCCCATGTCACGTGGAAACCAAGGTTGCAGGCTGTGTCCCTGTGGTGGCATCCAGGCCTGCTGTGGAAGTTCAGCTTGTGTTGGGCCTCACATTGACCACAGCGCCCTCATCCTTCCAGGAACCTGCCCCTGGCCATCATCATTTCACTGCCCATTGTCACTCTGGTGTATGTGCTCACCAACTTGGCCTACTTCACCACGCTGTCCACCGAGCAGATGCTGGCGTCCGAGGCTGTCGCTGTGGTGAGGCGCCCTGTGGCCGCGGGGTAGCGGGGTGGTCTCATCTCAGTGTCGCCAGGCTGCTAACCTGGTCAGGTTGAGGTCAGTGCCTCAGGGAGGGTGGGTGCGACCTTTCTCTGCGGTCTGTGGGTGCAGCTGGAGGCTGTGTTCCCTTGGGGCTGCCGGTGGGGGAGTGCCTGGACCTAGCGTCCTGCGTCCGTGTCCCCAGGACTTTGGGAACTACCACCTGGGCGTCATGTCCTGGATCATCCCCGTCTTCGTGGGCCTGTCCTGCTTCGGTTCTGTCAACGGGTCCCTCTTCACGTCCTCACGGTGAGTGACATGGACAGGCCTGGGCCCAGGGCTCGGTGACCCAGGCCAGAGCTGATCTCCTGTGAAAACAGTGTTGTCACTGTCACAGTCAGCACTTCGCCCACCCCCCTGCCGAGTGAGGAAGTGCTGAGCCCTTCTCCCTTGAGAAGTGTGGTGAGCCGTACCCTCAAGTCTCCTTGCCAGCCGTGCGCGGGGGAGGATGCCAAGGCCCCATGCAGCAGGGATTGGCAGGAGACCCAGTGTCCGCTCGGTTCCCCTGTGTACATAGCAGCCCCCAGTCCCCACCTGCCGCCTTCCTCAGCATCTCCTGGCCCCTGCACCTGGAGCTGTGTGCTGACATCCTCCCTGCGCTGACCCGCCCCTCCCGTGCTGTCCCTCCTGAGCCCAAGTCCCCTGCCCACAGGCTCTTCTTCGTGGGGTCCAGGGAAGGTCACCTGCCCTCTGTCCTCTCCATGATCCACCCACGGCTCCTGACCCCCATGCCGTCACTTGTGTTCACGGTAAGCCTGGAGACCCCAGTGCCATCTCTGCCTGTGGGCTCCTGCATGGGGCCCCGTCCCACCCCGGGCTCCCCTCGTCCTCTGTGGGCTCCCTGTCTTCCATCACTTGAGTCCCCCACCCTCTGGGATGCTCACCCTGTTCTCCAAGGCCCCCCTTGGCCTCCCCAACCCATGTACTCTGGGCTCACCCCCCACCTCCGTAGCCCACACCCACCCTGGGCCCACCTCGTCTTCAGTGGTCCGTTTACCCTGGGCTCACAGCCCCCCTGTGGCCCCGGCTGCCTGGCGCTCACCCCTGCCTCTGCCCACAGTGTGCCATGACCCTGCTCTACGCCTTCTCCAATGACATCTTCTCCGTCATCAACTTCTTCAGCTTCTTCAACTGGCTGTGCGTGGCCCTGGCCATCATCGGAATGCTGTGGCTGCGTTACAAGAAACCCGGGCTGGAGCGGCCCATCAAGGTGCGTGTCCACGCTGAGCCTGCCCCTCGGTGGGAGCGGTGGACTGCCCACCTGTGTCCCCAGGTCACCTTGCTCTATGGGCTCCGGTCCACACCCTGCATCTACCCTTGGGCCCACGTGGTCAGCAAGATGGCCTCTCTCCTCCGGGTGTCCTCAGCAGTGGTGGGGAGGAGCAGACAGGCCGGACAGGGCAGGTGGCGTGAGGACGCTGGAGGAGCCATGGAGGAGCGAACTGTCAGCTGTGTGCTTGCTTACCGCATGGACTGCGCTCCCAGACCCCGGCCTGCTGACCCGGCCTGCTCTGTCCCCGCTGACCGTGGCCCTCTGACCCGGCCAGTGCTGTCCCCGCTGACCGCGGTCCACTGACCCGGCCTGCTCTGTCCCCGTTGACCGCGGCCCTCTGACCCGGCCTGCTCTGTCCCCGCTGACCGCGGCCCTCTGACCCGGCCTGCTCTGTCCCCGCTGACCGCGGCCCACTGACCCGGCCAGTGCTGTCCCCACTGACCATGGCCCATTGACCTGGCCAGTGCTGTCCCCACTCACCCCAGCCCACTGACCCGGCCAGTGCTGTCCCCGCTGACCCGGCCTGCTCTGTCCCTGCTGACCTGGCCAGTGCTCTCCCCGCTGACCCCGGCCCGCTGACCCAGCCAGTGCTGACCCTGACCCTCTGATCCGGCCAGTGCTGTCCCTGCTGACCCGGCCTGCTCTGTCCCTGCTGACCTGCCAACCGCGGCCCACTGACCCGGCCAGTGCTGACCCTGGCCCTCTGACCTAGCCAGTGCTGTCCCTGCTGACCACGGCCCGCTGACCCGGCCAGTGCTGACCCCGGCCCTCTGACCCAGCCAGTGCTGTCCCCGCTGACCTGGCCTGCTCTGTCCCCGCTGACCCGGCCAGTGCTGTCCCCACTGACCCGGCCCAGCAGACCCAGGCTGACCCCGGCTCGCTGCCCCCGGCTCTCTACCTGTGTGCCCTCCACAGGTGAACCTGGCTCTGCCCGTCTTCTTCATCCTGGCCTGCCTCTTCCTCATCGCCGTGTCTTTCTGGAAAACGCCGGTGGAGTGCGGCATCGGCTTCGCCATCATCCTCAGCGGCCTGCCCGTCTACTTTGTCGGGGTCTGGTGGACAAACAAGCCCAAGTGGCTCCTTCAGGGTATCTGTGAGTACCTGACCCCGTCCTCCCGTCTGGCCTGGTCACCTGTCGGCTATACCCCAATGGCCCAACGCAGAGCAGGCTCCGCCTGAGGGGAGGGACATGGGCCTGGGGTGGTCGCCGGACAGGCCTCTCCCTCACTCCTGGGCGCCTGCGTGCGAGGTGGTCCCCTCACTCCTGGGTCCCTGCGAGTGACGTGGTCCCCTCACTCCTAGGTCCCTGCGAGTGACGTGGTCCCCTCACTCCT